GGGTAACAATCGGGCCGGGCAGGTGGAGTAAACGAGGTCGTAGACGAGTATGGGAGGCGAAGGGCGTTCAGCCCGTTACATCTACTTTAACTTCTAAATAGTATGTATAGTTAGCCTTTTTATAGTATAGTTCTAAGCCTAGTACAAACTTAGGTTAAGAAGTAAAAAACTAAAAGTAGATTATTAAAAGAACTAATAATAAATAAGGCCTAGTAGTATAACGTATTCCATCACCGAGCGGGCCACATCACCGAGTGTGCCACTTTTTCTTGGCATCACGAACTTCATGTACAAAAACTTAAATTACTCTACACTAGCTATAGACGCTTTATATAACTTACTTATATCTAAAAGAGAATCTTCTTCTACATCTTTCTGGCACGTACGAGAGTTATGGCCTGTCCTCCCACAGGTTCTACAGTGCCGTTGACCTGGTAGGGCCCTTTCTTGACTACCTCCACCACGTGCCTTCTTTGATGTCGTACGACCAGCAGAACTACTTTCAGCTACCTGCGATGCCCCTGCACCAAAGTCTAGTGTCCCACCTGTCTAAATTCGCTTTCTTTTGCGCCCTCGGCGCTTTGTTACTGCTGCTTATTGCTCTTCAAGCTCTCTTACGCGGGCCTTTATAAGCACATTCTCATATAGCATCTCCTCAGCCCCTTTAATAAGCTTTAAAAAGCCTTCTTATGCAGTAGTTAGCAATCGTACGAAAGACTCTCTTACAAGCTTTAATTGTGACTCAAATTCATGCGAATTACTTAGTGTTCTTGACGTCTAGGGTATTTCTAGCTAAGCTTCTTGTAGTAGAGTATGAAGGCGTACGTCAAGGCGATCAATGACTCTCTACGCGTCAATAGGGACTAGCCCTGCTGCCTTAAAGGCCTTCTTGTAGTTATCGGACGTAAACACGTCAAAAAACGCGTCTCGAAAGGCTGGAAGGAAGCGCTCCTTATTAATATGCTAGACATAGTGGCGTGCCAAGTCTTGTACGCGTTGAGAGTACTTCTGCTTAAGAGGCGAAAAGCAGACAACGTTAAGTGGCTAAAGTATGTGCGATGAATGAGCAGGCATACAGAGGGTAAGGATCTTTCGTACGAGGCAGTAATCCTTAAATTCTTAGTTAAGGTAGCTCTCATGGCCGTTAAGGATG